CACTGTTTATTGCCCAGGGCATTTTCTCAAGGGGGACACCGGTGACATCTGGGTCAGGCTATCCTGTGTGCTGCAGAACGTGGAGGGGCTTCCCTGGCGTCCACTCACCAGGCACCAGTATCACCAACAACCAGGAATGTCCACCAGCACTGGCCTGGGCACTCAGAAAGTGAAGGAGTAAGCAAGGGACACAGGTCGTCGCAGCAGGCACAGAGAGCGCCATGCATTAGCCCTGGGTGGCCCCGGTTCTCTCTGTGAAAGCTCAGAACACCCATCCTCAGGCTACACAAAGACTTCTCCATGCGAGTCGAGACTTTCTTCTGCGGCCCTTTAAACCTAGTTTGCTGACTCCAGTTTGAATGAACTGCCAGTCAACTCTTACATACTGAAGTATTAAAATAGGGCCTTATTTTCTCCATCTCAATGAAAACGCTGCTGGGACTCTGTCTGTGGAGGGAGGAAGGGCAAGAACGAGAATTACATCATAGTAAGAACTTCTGAGGTGTGGGAGAGTTCACACAAGCAAGTATCTGAACTGAGATGCTCTCAGAAGCAAACAACCCATCAGTATTCCTAAATATGTCTGAAACCCGGTCAAACCAAGAACACGGTTTTGTGAGAAAGAAGTGGAGGAAAGGCGTGTGTGAGTGAAAATAAAACCCAGTCGTGTCCCAATGGGATACGTTCATTACCACATGGCTAGACTGATTCTCCCGGGGGCAAAGCATGGCCATTCTGTGCGGTGTGCCTCCCTCCGGAGGTAAAGCTCAGCAGACTGTACTCCAGGGTACTAAGAGGGTGTGTCCCCCTGTCAAGGGGCGGCCCGTGTGATAATTACACAGGGGACAAGCATAGCCCAGACCTAGGGTAACCTCTCAGCAGCCCCTCAACAGATGCTGGGCCTTTACACCAGGAGCTTTCTTAGTTTTTTCCGAGGGTAAAATGAGTGCTGTGTATCTCTCAACTACTGTTTTCCTTTTGGATAAGGAAGGAAGAAATGACAAACCAGAAAGACACAACTTTGAAAAATTACTCTGAAGTGAGAGTATGTACTCGTATTGGACTCAATACCATCAACCTTTTAACCAGAATAAGCTGTACTTTCCAAAAGTCACCGCGGGACTCTCCCATATTTAGGTTCTGGTGAACGCAATGGGGAGAAGCACGCTAACAATTTTTAGGAACTGATGAAAACTTACTGGTAAACCAGGGATCTGAATCCACCATACACAGAACCTGTTTCCTTAATAATGACACTAGGAGAAAAACTATCAAAGAAAGATTTGAAAAGGTCCCTTCCATTCTTCTCCTTTTTGTTTTTTTAATTGGGGTCTCATACCTGATTTGCTTTGGTTAAACTGGCTTGATGTCAGAGACTAAACAAGTTGTTATAAAAGACTACCATAGGGCTGGAGGTGTGGCTCAAGTGGGGGAGGAAGGAAAGGGAATCTTTCCAGGGGCTGGGGGAGTGGCTCAAGTGACAGAACGCCTGCCTAGCAAGCATGAGACCCTGAGTTTAAACCCCTATACTGCCCAAAAAAAAAAAAAGGAAAATCATAAACAAAAGAAAACCTTTCCAAGCCTTACATCCATCAACATAAACAAAGTCTCAACATATGCTCCAATCCCCTAAATTGTCATCAGCTTTGTTTACAACCTGGGGGCTATGAAGTAACCATGATTTGATCACGGCTACACAATCAAAACTGACACTCTTCTGATCCTTGGTGACATTCAGCACCTACTATTTTTAGTCTCTCTTTCTAGACTACATACATGAAATGAAAACAAAATTATGAAACCTCTGAATGTTAACCCAGCAATGGAGAAACCAGTTTCTCATAATCACTTCTTTGTCTTGTCCCACTGTGCAAAAGCCCCTTACACAGTGAAATCCCAAGCCCTCTTTCCAGCTACCTTACAGAATTAAGGACTCCAGTTCTCAGCACTATGGGAAGTTTTTTAAAGGGGCAGTGAAAACCACATAAAGCACAATTATTTCTAACTTTGTGTCAGAGACCCATTTGTCTGACACGTCTATTTAAGCTGCATCTTACTGGACAGTCAGGACTCCACGATCTTAAACATCCTCAGCCTACCAAGACGTGGAGAAGAGTCTCTGACTCACGGAAGGGTCCTCTCCTGGCCAACGGATCACCTGAAACTCATACCTACAAGAACTGCAGCTCTAGGCTCCTGTTCTCCTCACTGTGACAGTCAACATTGTTTCAGAAGAGTAGTTTATACATTTTTAGCCAAATAACTTTTTAGCCAACTGACTTTTAATACCACTTGAGAAATCAAAGGCAATTTTTCACAATGGTAATGAGGTTGTTTCTAGTATTCTTGTGTCATTTATATTTTTTCCTATAGGACAATTTGCCTGGTAAAAATTTTAAAAACACTTTTAGATAGATAGAGTTATCAAAACTTTTCATCCAACCCGAAGGCAGTCTGTGGAGCAGCCCATGAATTATTCCATCTGCCTCAGAGTCAGCAGCTTTGGAAAAGACTGGCCATGTGCACCAAGCCCATTTCCTTTCAAAGGTAGCACACGATTCAATGATACTCCTGCCTCCCAAGTTAGGTGTGCTCCTGGGCTGCACTCTAGCCAGGGGAGGGGACAAATGTAACACTCTGTCTGGGCCTGGACACATAAAACCATCCCACACAAGCCTCCACATTTACTTAAGGCAGTGGAACACAGCCACATGCAAAGACAAGGACAAAAGAGAAGGAAATGGGTGTCTGATTCAGTGCTCAGAGGGAAAGCCCACATATCAGGGCAACCTGTGAGCAAGAGGTAACCTTCCACTATATCTAAGTCCTTCTAATTTAAGGAGTCTTTTACCACAGCAGGCATTATGTCAACTAAATAAAAACACTGGGAAACCCTCCACACATGGTAGGTTGGTCTGAAACCTAATGTTCTAGAATTAGTGACTTAGACAAGAACAGGACCTATTGGATGGGTCACACCTATTTGGCCACAATAAAACTGCCTCCAGCATGCAGCAAGATTCTGCTGCAGAGCTGCGGCAGAAGGTGACATGCTGAACCACCAATCCTTAATTTTCACAGTTACAGGTTAGATGCTATCACCAAAAACTTGTACGAATCTTCTACGCTATGTACGCAACACCAGCAAGCCACATGAAATCCAACGTGGACTCTGCTGTAGCACTACTGCTGAAGGCATTTCCTAGAGCACACTGAGTGCTGCAGTGGACAGAGTCCATGTGGACTTCCTTCAGCCACTTGCTTGCTCTTAGTAGAAACAACGTCAAGACAACCTTGTCATTCCCCTGTGGAAGTCTTGCTTGGATCATGAGAATGGTGATACCTACAGCACCTCCCTCTTTGCCCTGATAAGACCCAAGCTGGATGTATCACCCCAACATTTGTTCTCTTTGCTCCTGTTTTCCTTCCATTACCTGGTTTTCTAGGTTTGGCCTCATTGGATACTTTTACTATGAATTACCTTCATGGCAAGGTAATTTTAGAGGTGAGGTATGAACAAATTCAGTTCGTTAAGGAAGGAAACTAACAAGCACTAAGTGAAGGCAGTTGCTTCACATACTAACTCTCATTTAATTTTTACAACAATGAAAAATATACCATAATTTTCCATTTATGAATGACAAAATAGTTAAGTTTTTTTAAACATTCACTCAAGGCTACATACCAAAGCCAACGATGGCAAGATTCAAGTATAATAATGACATCTGACCCCAAAACTCACTCTTTCCATTTCAAAATGCTACATTTGACTTATGACAGATTGCCATCCTTTACGCAATGGGGGGAAGAAAAGGGTACCACTCAATTCTGATTTCCTCTCAATATTAATTTTGGTAAATCAATGCTTCTGAAAATTTCCAACCTTTATCTTGTATCTTATTATCATATCATCACAAAATCAAAACCTACACTCCCCCTTTCCACATCAGGGCAGATTAATTTAACAGATAAACTCAGGAGAGGAAGAGACTTGGCCTTAATTATCCAAATTTAACTGGGTGCCAGTGGCTCACGCCTGTAATCCTAGCTACTCAGGAGGCAGAGATCACGAGGATCTCAGTTTGAAGCCAGCCCGGGCAAATAGTTCAAGAGACCCTATCTCAAAAAAAAAGAAAAAAAAAATCCAAATTTAATGCTGCACTCCTAAGGAAATACTCATTTCTATCTACAAGGTTTTGGCTTCCACGAGAATTACATCAAATGGTTTTTCTTCACCGATTTAGACTGAAAGATACTCCATTTATGAGCTCAGTGAGATGGACACTGCTAGGAAACTGCACACAGGAGTGCTCTTGGGTTTCCTCAGTGGGGACCGGATGACCCTGACCCTGCAACACCTAACGCGGTCACACATAATCTGTAGTACTCTAATACTGTAGCTTCTGCTGTATTTATTTACTCACCTAGCATTCTTAAAAGTCAAGTGTAGGGCTGGCGGAGTGGCTCAAGTGGTAGAGCACATGCCTAGCAAGCCTGAGGCCCTGAGTTCAAACCCCAGTACCACCAAAAACAAACAAAAAAAGAGTAAACAAACTCACTAAGCACCATTATCAATTCTCAGCAGCAGTTCTGAGAAATCAGCATTAACTTAAAGCACAGCTGATGACTGGAAATATCAGACTAATGTGCTTAGGATCATAAGAACACTAACCAGATACTTCCACCACTACTTACAACCAGCCTAAAATTAGGTGATTAGTGGCTACTGTTACAATAATACGAAACAGTCTTGACCACAAAGTTCCACTCCAAAATACTTTCTTGCTTGAAAGGGAATGTCAGCATCAAACACTGTTACCAAAAATATATTTCTATAGGCGACACTTAAGATGGTAAAGCCATCAAAGCCAGGTTCTTTTGATCACAAAGGTCAAAACATCTCTCCTTCCTCCGAAAACCTGCTGTGCTATCGGAGTCCTTCACACCCACTGCTCAGCCCAGAGCTGCATCATGGAGCCGGCGATATTTTTAAGTCTTACCTTCAGATAGGATCCATAATATTTGGTTACATATGGACTGTCGCACTGACTCAGCACTGTGATTTCTTGTTGAATGTCCTCTATCTCATCTTCAGCTTCTTCCAGATCAATGATTTTTATGGCAACCACTTTCTGAGTCCGATTGTCAATGCCTTTGAACACCTCACCAAAAGAGCCTTTTCCAATTTTCTCTAGTTTTGTAAAAAGCTCTTCTGGGTCTGCTTTCAGGTTCTGTGGGAGAGAAGGGAAAGCAGGGAAATGTTAGGACTTCCTGCTGCTTCTTATATATTTACAACACTGTGGACCACAGCCCTGGCGAACTGATCATCTCGCTGTGCCAAAGACCAAGCTGGCTGTGACCACAGTTCTTCAGGCTGTGCAGGTTAAACTACCAAATGCAGCAAGTGGACAGGCACCAGTGGCTCATGCCCACAGTTCTTGTTACTTGGGAGGCTGAGATCTATCGGAAGGGTTGGGGTTCAAAGCCAGCCTGGACTGAGACCCCCATCTCCAAAACAGTCAGAGAAAAGTAAACTGGAGGTGTGGCTCAAGTGGTAGTGTGACTGCTTTGTCAGCACAAAGCCCTGAGTTCAAACCCCAGTCCCACTAAGAGGAAAAAAAAAAAACACATCAAGTATGCATCAAGATCAACTGCCCATTTCCCCTGCTAAAACAAAGAGCAGACATATCCTAGTGAAACCACACAGGAAACTGTATTTGTTATTTAAGAATTTTTTGTATACATAAATAAAAATTTTATTTTGTTTTGAGTACTGGGGTTTGAACTCAGGCCTACACCTTGACCACTCTACCAACCCTTTTTTTGTGATGGATATTTTTCAAGATAGGGTCTTGCAAACTATTTACCTGGGTTGGTTTCTAACCAAGATCCTCCTGATCTCTGTCTCCTGAGTAGCTAGTATTGCAGGTGTGAGCCACTGGTGCCTGGCATTTAAATAAAAAATTTAATGTTTTAAAAAAAAATCAATTGCCCAAATGAAACAGAAAAAAATGGAAAAAGCTCCAACTTTTAATAAAAATTTAAATGCATATTTACTGGAAAATCACTCTTGGGCTGGGATACAGCTCAGTGGTAGGGTGCTTGCCTAGCAAACATAAGATCCTCTGTTCAAGCCACAGCACCAACAAAAAAAAAAACTATAATGCAAAAATTTCACTTTTCTCCCTACTCTATCCCCAAAATGTCTTAACTTCAGATGTCAGAAGCACATTTATTCAAACACAGGTCAGCTAGCTATATCATCTAACAGAAAGAAAAAAAAGTATTACCCTACCTATCACAGACCATGCTTAAAAGGCCAATACAGTCCTGTGTACCTTGCTTACAGATACTGCCTTCACCTGACAACAGCCAGATGCCAGGAAATAATAAGCAGCCTGTTTTCCTTGTCACATAAATGCGCTCAAGGACTCCAGCTCCTGACTCCTGAGCCAGAATCCAGGTGCCCCTCCTAACAGCTGTCCAGCACAAAGTACGTGACAGAAGAATTCTCAGCACAGTCACCTATCATTTCCAGAAGCATCTGGAAATAATGTGAGGGGCTGTGTGTCACAAAACTGGGGGACAGTGCTGACATTTAGCAAGCATCGCCAGGGCACCTTGCCAATCTCAGAACCAGTTACTGCCTAGCCCCAAACACCAGTGGCACCCCAGCAACAAGAACCAGCCATAACCACAGGGCACGGAAGGACCAGAGCCACCAGCACTGCAGGTGCTTTTCCCTCAGAAACTTTGCACACAGGAAAAAGAGGGTGCTGGGCTGATCCTCGAAGGTTTATTAATCTTCCAAAGAAATTGAAATATTACAGAAAAGGAACGAGAGGGGGAAGGGGGAGGGCTGAATGAAGGGAAGAAAGAAGAATGAGAGGGAAGAGCCATCCAGGAGCAGTGACAAGGTCCCCAGTCAGGCACAGAATGTGGCAATGTCAGCAACACTGAATGTGAAGGGCTCGCCAGGTATCAACCACTCACTTGCTTCAGAGGTGAAGCACTCTGTGAGCTCCAAGCACACACATTCCAAGGGGCCTGAGAAACGAGAGGCAGCCCACTTCTAATTGGGAGTCTCTCTGCCCCACAACATGTCAATAATACAGGAGCTGACAGTCACAGGTGACCCCTCCCACACAGGAGCCAGAGCACCCACTCCATTTTGAGACTGCACACAGAACAACATACTATCTCACAAACCCACTGACCAGCTTTGGAAAAATGAACAAAAGGCGCTGAACATGACACACACGGTGCAAAAAGGGTTACAAGGCTACCAAAAGGACAACAGGAGAAAAACTGTCACAGTACTTCGCATGCGCTAGAAGCCTACACCCAAGGGTTACAGGGACTTATAAAAAGCCACTGTGTTCAGAATGAAACCCAATTCACCTGCATTTCTACTTGAAGTTCTGCACTAGGCATTTCAACTGAGTGGCTGATACAGATGTCCTGGACTGGTTTTTCTAAGTGCCTATTTCCAGCCATGAAACCATGACTTCGATGTCTTTTTGAAACGGAACATTCTCAGGAAGCCCGAACATGTATTCCAGGCTCTGAACACACACCCCAAGACCCTGCATCTGTAACTTCCTCAAGTGAGGACTGTTTCTGCAGCTAGTGGACAGCCCTAAAATATCCTCTATTACTTTCAGATGTGTCAATTACTCTAGCAGCGCAACCTTCAAAGTCATCTGCTGGAGAATCCCAGGTGGGTATCTTGCGTCCCCCTCAGCCTGCACACCCCATCTCCCCCTCCGGCACACACAGCAGCCTGGAGTAAACGGCTGGGGAGCAGGGGGGAGGCACTTGTTTCCTTCTCGAGGGTAACGAAACAGAAATAAGTGCCCTTCCCTTTTCTCCTTCACTCCCTTCCCTTACCTCCTTTCCTCCAGGATGAGGTGGGGTGGCCCTCCTTTTCCTCAACGCCAATCCTAAAAGCGGGGCTTTGGAGTCCATCCTCCTCTCCTCCAGGATACAGCTTCAACCACAACCTTCTTCCCGCTCCCTCTTCCATCTATCCCCCTCTACTGGCTCTTTTGTCCTGGGCACCATGCCCAGGCTCCTCCCATTTCACACAAAACCACCCTGCTTGACCCCAGAAGCCCTCCTCCTTCACATGCTCCTTCATTCCTCTGAAGGTCCCTGACAGCCACACCTCTCCACCGCAGTCTGGCTCCGGCTGATTCTGGTCACAGTGATGCAGGCCCTGTCTTTGAGCCTCATCAGCCAAGCCCTCCTCCCTTTTAACTTTCCAGTCCCTTGGTCTAAGTCCTACTCCAGTGCCCTTGTTCCAGAAGAATCTTTACACACAAGACTCTACCGAGGCTGACACCCTTAATCTAGGTATCCCCCAGATTCCGTCCCAGACCTCCTGATCTTTCTTCCTTCTTGTGGGTCAGGCCAGACAGTTCCAGGGTTTGGGGCAGAGTTTTCCAAAGATCGTTAGAATCACTTGAGACACTCAGCATTTACACTGGGGGGGTGGGGGTGGGGGTGGAGTTTGCACATAACCCATATTTTAAAACACTCCAGTTGATTCTGGGGAACAGGTACTTTTAAGCAATACGACTCTTCATTATTGCATAAATACAACTTTCACACTGCCCACTCCTGTCCTGTCTTGGGAGTTCAAACACATCTCAAGCCCAACGTGTACTAACAGAATGTGACACTTCCCCTGTTGAAGGGACTGTCCTCCCATATTCTGTTACACTGTCTCCATTGCTAGGCTAAGCCAGAGGAGTCCGGGGAACACGTCTCCTCACCTCCACACCCATATGCATGAGTACCAGGAATGGCATGAACCCAAAGGTCAATAAATGTCCCCAAGTGCTAAGAAAACCCTAGACTTAGACACAGCAGGACCCAGGTTAGATATCACCCATCCTAGCCCAGAGAGACAGACCCCGAAAGGGTCTGGGGACAACACCCCTTGCTGACAAGGGTCCGATGTCCTAAGATGGAAGAGAGTCAACCAGCACATTAACTCCCAGGGGCAGCTTCTCAAATCCTGATGCTCACCAGAATCACCTGGCAGGCTTATTGGCACAGGCTGTCTGGCCCCACCAGAGAAGTTTCTGATGTAGGGTCCACAAATTAGAGACTTCCCCCAATGACACAGCTGCCACTGGTCCATGGACCACACTCAGAGAGGGTCTGCTCTGAACGAGGGGAGAAGCTGGCCTAAACAAAGAGAATGCTCTAAAGCATGGCTTGATTTAGCTAGCTCCTCCACTAAAGGGCCCATTCCTCACAAGCGAAACTCATGGTTCCTTTTGAGAGTGTAAAAAAAAAAAAAAAAAAAAGGCAGGGGGAGGGTGAATTCAAGTAGGATATGCTTTTGTAAATGCCACAATATACCCTGAGCCCAACAATAAAAAAAGAAAAAGAAAAACAGGCAACAAGGACCTACCTAAACCCTTACATGGTTGAAGAGGACAGTGTGGGAGATGTTAGTATTGTACCAAAGCATCCCACCTCCCAGGCCCACCCCTATGAACGTCATTTCCGCACTGCTCCCAGCCAGTGGGGAGACCCATACAGCTACACTCTGGACCCAGATGAGGTCATCCTAGGCCATCCAGCCTCGACCATGCCTGCCACCTGCTGACTGCATGACACCTACAGAATCATGAGAAATAAGTCACTAGGCCTGGACTGTTTGTTACCCAAGGAGAGAGTCAACCGATGATGGAGGCCAGGCACTGCCCTAACTCCACTGGAGTCCTGGCTCCATTCGAAGGCACTGGGACCATGCCCTGTGTCGGCAGCACCCTGTAAGCACAGAGCCTATTTTCCCACCATGGGTTGGCCTTGCAGTTTCTTGTGACATTGTATGGTTTCCAAAGTTAAGCCTTAAGGGGTCCTGCCGCTTTCTCTCCAGCCTTCTTGGAACACCTCCATCAACACAAAGAAGCCTGTTCTGAGCCACTGGAGAGACCACACAGAGAGATGCCCGGATGCCCCCTGTCCCTGTGGAGCCACAGAGAGGCCAGGGACCTTGGGGGGACAAGGAAGAGGTCCTACACACTGGAGAAGAGGTTCTCATTGTGATAAATTGCTTGTCATCCTTTTGCCTGGTCTAAGATAGTTAGAAAACAGCTGTTTTCTCTTTTGCTACCTTCCCACAAGATCCTTCCAGGGTCCATCACCTGTACACATTAGCAATGCATTGCCTCACATCTGCCCAAATGTGCAGCCAAAAACTGCTTGGCAAGAA